GTGCACTCCTGAGCGTCAAGAGACTGATGACAACTCCTGAATGCTGCTCATCCATCATGACAAAAAGGCCGGTGTTCGGGCGCGGCTTTAAGGGAACTTATTAGGGAGCTCAAAATGAATTGCCAATTAAGATTTTGCTAATTGTTGTAAGCAAAGGGGCATTTTGCAAAGAAACCCAGTGGCACCACTGAGCTCTTATATTATATTTTACTTTGTTGAATAATGTATGATCATTAAGTTCTCCAACTCTGTCAGAAAGGATTTCTTTTAATTGAGTAACAAGGGATAAAGAGCCAGGCATAGGGAGAGGAGTTCATGCATTAAATACTCCGAAAACTGATTAAAGCTGCAGGATGTGACTTTTACACAAATATGTTTTTTATTTATTCCTTATTTATTAAAACTACCACCATGTCGTGATTTTAGGAGACAGACGGTTTATGAAAAAAAAATTGATCTCCTTGAGCTTCTGTTACTATGAAGAAACACACCGGTCCCAGTCAAAAACAACCAATCAGAGCCAGGAGGCGGGGCTTAGTGCTGTCAGTCACAATCTCATGTGATGCTACTCATCCCCACTCCACCTCCCCTGCAGCTAGCAGATCCTGTTAAGTAGTTAGCATGGCCACTGATAACGACAGATAAACAGCGAGTTGTTTCTCCGCCATTAGTACATTTAGCAGCAGGTATACGAGAATGACTGACAGCGCTAAGACTCTCCTCCTGGCTCTGATTGGTTGATTCTGGTTGATGCATTTCTCCAGACGGCAATAGCAGCTCAGGGAGGAGCTGGAGGAGAACAATGTTTTCATAGATTATCTGTCTCATAACATGCTGTCATGATGCAGTGACAGTTTTAACAAATATGTAGAGATTAGCTAACTAGCTAAACACCATTCTGCGTAGATGTGTTCTGCACCATTGTCATAGTGAAGGGTTGAGGTTATTCAGTGAACTCAGCAAACAAGACATATGTTTCAATTCTATATGTATGTCAAACTGTGATCAGTTGAAAGTTAGCTTTAGCTAAGAAAGGTTAGCTTTGACCAAATTAGAAACACATAGCACTAAGCCCAGACTGCACAGGTAGAAAGATCCAGACTGTAGAAGTCTACCTCAGTCTTATTCAACTGAACTGAGACAAACTGCACCATCCAAACAATGAAAGGAGACCAGGGTAACGACCCTGGGGGTTACCAGAGTATTGATGCTATCCCCACATACACAATGCATTAGTGGCATTACTGCAGACCTCTAAGGACCCATTACGTTAACAGAGAAGTCGCCGTTGTCAAACGGCATCATTGAGATGAACAGAGAACCTGTGGCTTGTGAATTAATTTCAGATAAATAGCAAACACCTCCGGCGCCGAGCTCCAGGGACAGAGCAGGACCCGTCACCCTCCCACCTGAAACCAACTCATATTTCATGATTAAAAACGGCTCTGCTTGTCGACTTTCTGACAAGGTGTTATGGCAAAGCACCGAAGTGTGTACACACTGCCGACATCCAGCATAAGTCATTCTTACTCCTGTCCTCCCTGGACTTCATTCCCTGCCACTGGGAAGGGAATGTAAGCTTCCAAAAAGATAAACATTGGAACGATGATGAACACGTGAATTGTCTCTTCATGGTAGCGACATCAAACCTTCCAAACCTGACTTTTGCTTGCAAACACTCATGTGTCACTGTTCTAAAAAGATCCTTTAAAAAAGCCTTCATCATTACAACAGTTTGACCCAAAAGAATCTCTTATTTCACAGATGAAACCATGACAACAGTCTGATCTTATGACTTAGGAATAATTTATTTCAGGGGTAAACTGGCCCCAATGTTCTTAATTTTGGGTGATTGTCCGATACTTACATGTGAAACCAATCTTATTTTTACAACTGTATCTGTTTTTAGCATTAGCATTAATTTGTAAGTGACATATTGAAAATTAGTTATATAATTCCTTTCCAACATATGCACATTTTTCTCAATGAAGAGAAAAATTATTTAATCTCATCTTTTTTATTTTTGCTTTTCTCACATTTCTGTTTTGCTTTTGCACAAATCCATCTGCACTTTTGCTCAAAAACTCAACCTTATTATTTCTTTGAAACTCACCTCCTGCTTTGAACTAATCTACTTTCATTGTAGCTGGAACGCAAAACAAGCCTAGTCTTAACGCCCAACTAATGCTCTAACCTTTAAATAATAAAAAGAATATGTAATATGAAGGTAAAAACATCCTCGCTTTGTAGGTTTTTCACTTTCTTTCTCAGACTCCTGGAACATAGCAGCGAGGTAAAGTAACCTAGCAACAGCCTGTCAGACTCAACAGGTTGCGCGCACGGGGAGGAGAGGACACAAACAATAAACAGAAGTGGAAATGACAGTGTCCTACAGTGCGCCTTGTGCGGCTGCAGCAGCTGATGACTGGAAGGAGAGAACAGCGGGGAACACAGCATAACAAGCACTCAACTTCAGGCCTCTAACTGGGCGGCTTTCACAGGATTAATTTAAGTCGTCTTGAATTGGGCCATGCAGAACATAATGACGACATAGTAATAAAAGCCCATGCAAATATAATAATGCTTAAAGAGTAAATGTTATCCTATTTTTAAAACTAGAAACGCTAAACATATTGGAGATTTGAAACCGATAAATCACAACCTGCCTTTCAAGTAATTTCCAAAGGAAGTTTTCTGATTGAAAAAGTTAAAGTCCAGCGATTCCCCCAGTGTATTATAAGCCTGGCGGGCCACCAGGCTTTACTGGTGTCCCCACCAGGCTAAGCGTTGCTTAATTATTTAAGTCTTTCAAAATGTTTGCATTTTTTAAGACTTTATAGTTGGTGTACAGGAATTAATCTTCCAATCTTTCAATAATGCCTCATTATCAAGTGATATTTTAAAATTTCCTGTCAATCTTAAACATTTTTTGAATCAAAAACACGATGAATGAATGACTGCCCTAGCACCCAACCATTGGGCTTAGCAGGTTTTCTGGGGGAAACCTTGAAGTCTCTTTAAAACTTCTTTTACAGCTACTTTCATATTTGGATGCTGACATACGTATTACGTATTTTTAAAAATGCTGTATATATATCAAATATGACCAAAAAAAATTTCACTTCATAATTTAGCACCTTGAAATTGGCTCGCCGTCTCTTTAAGAAACTCCTGCTCTTTCTGAACAGTCTTGATTTTTAAATGCCAGTTTTTGTCCCAAATAGTCAGTCTCCAATCCGGCTAATTGAAGGACGACAACACACTGTTTTTACACACTTTGATGATGTCAGTCCTTTAAGTCTCCATTTACGTTTCTCCTGACTTCCTCCTCCTTCCTGAACAAATCATTAAAACTATTCACCTCATAAAATCAGACTGAACGGCTAACATTGGTTTCTTTTGGCTCACAAAGTTGTCTGGATTCAGTGTGTGACAACATAGTTCAGAAACTTTCTACATATTTAGTTTCCCATTACTAAATCCTACTTTTAAAAAAGAATAAAAATTAAAAGTCTTCTCAAATCAATATCACTTTCACATAAACAGTTGAAATGATGAATTGTACAAATGATTTTATGTTTATCCTTTCAACACAACAATGGTTTTAAAGTAATACAATGTACCAGAGAGATTATTTGTTTTTGTTTAATTGCTTTCATTTCAACCATTTGTTCGACATAAAATAGGTCTTTTAATTAACCTAAGTAATGTTTGAGGTTTTTGTGTGAGATTTGGATCATCTTATTGATGTTTTTTTTTTAGATGGGCTTTTCATGGCTGGAAGGCTTAATTTTTTGAAATAGTAAATTGTGATGCGTTTATTTAAAAAAAAAAACATTACAAAGTCAATTTTGTAACTAAGAAAGTAAAAGAAGAAAAATGTTGCATGCACTTAGATTTTCAGAGCAGTCACATGACTCAAGTGACCAACAACCGGATGTTACTACCGGCAACAAAGACGAAGACGACAGGAAGTGGTAGGCGGATCATGGTGTGGACTGTTTCTTAATGACTTATCGACATGATTTTAACTGTATTTCTTATTTACCGTAATTGTAAAATTGTGTGTGTGCGTGCGCATGTGTGTGTGTGTGTGTGTGTTTGAGTATAGTTTTTTTTTTAATTGGCGGAACATCGACAAAGCTTTGCACACATTTGTAACGGAGACGCATGTAGTGAAAATTTCTCACTTAAAATTTTAAAATAGTCTCCGTTTGCAAATCATTCAAAGGTAAGGTAGGTAAGCCAATTTTATTTATGCGACACATTTTCAACAACAAGGCAGTTTACATGAATTAGGAAGAAATACAAGCAAAACAGCAAACAAAAAGAAAGGCAAAAAAGGTAAAAACTACATATTGGTCCCCCATATTCACTCAAAAGAAAAGCTGAAGATACTGATGGAAAGAACACAACGCCAGGATTACTTACATGATCGGATTAATTAATGTCTGCAGGAATAGTTTTCAGTTTCTCAGGGTGAGTCACTGAGCCTTTGTTTTTAGCACACCATTACGATGCCATCGGCACCCAGATCTAGGTCTGCGGCTGTACTGTGAGCTATAAATGAGCTAAGAGGTGAATAGTTTCATTTCAGATTGTAAACAACAGCTACAGTTTTCAGAGTTCGAGAAACCAAGGATGAGCAGATTTCAGAGGGCTTTGCTGGGCGTCGTAGATGCAAGACGAAGACGAAAAATCAGGCTGAGGACAGACAGAGCATGGACAGGCCCAGCGTGGGAGCCGACGTGGCCCGTTAAGTGGACAGGCAGCCCGGCAGGAGCCCAGTAATCCGTCTGATCCTGAAAGCCAACCAGCAGAGAGGCGGGAAAAGGGCGCGAGGCATTCATGTAGCGCAAAAAAAATAATTTAAAAAAGGCTTTTCATTAGGGCCGTGAGCTCATAGTCAAGTTCAAACATCATCTCTTTGATCAAGTCAATTTAATTTGAACAAATTCAACATTTAAATTAGATTGGGTTTAACAACAGTCTTTGAATCCGATAATGATGATGAGTTTTCACCGATGATTTGAAAGTGCGCCACATTCAAAGTTTCAAATGTCTCCAGGGGTTATTACTGTAGATTGAACAAATATACCCACATGCTTTTAAAAATAGTAAATAAAATCAACGGTACATCAAAGCAGCTAATTAGAGCCTGAAACTTGATGCATTAAGGAGCCTAAATGAGGCATTAGTCTTAGGGAATACCATTAACAGGTCCAATTAACACAAGCCTGCCAAACCGTAAGGGTTCCCTGTCTTACTTCTAGATCACCGGGCTCCACTAAGCTCAAAAACACGTGTCAGTGTTAATGATCAACTGAAAGACAATATACTCATTAGCAAGGCACTGCTGGAGTGACAGCACAAAACCCCTAAGAGCTGCCGGGACTGGAAGCTGTACTCATAAATAAAACATTTTCTCATCAGCAGGATGACTTCATCAGTAATCACAGACGGAGCTGATGTTGTTTAGTTTTGCCTCAGATTGGCCTGCAACTCTGAACATTGGAAGAAAGACCCAATGACAGTCAAATAGTCTTCCGCCCCGTGCCTGTCAAGAAATCAAGATCTGTGATCATCGCAAATTATTTTCTACCAGGGTTGTCACAATGCTAAAAATTCAAACTTGATACTAAGAAAAATACTTAATACCATGTGTTTTTTGAAGGCAATGGGGTTATTTGCAGTTAAAGTAAAAAATGATTAGCTGCAATTTGACACAATTTAGTAGGGCAAAACAAGTAATTAGGAGAAAATTTAACCTTCTCCAAAATAGATATACAATTCAAAAGTGTCACTTCCCTATTTGGTTCCAGTCATACCCGATGAACAGATGTGAACTTGTCTCCACTGGACATGCCAGATCACTGACCCATTTTGTCTCCTATGGAGTGCCCCAAGGATCAGTTCTGGTACTCCTTCTTTTTCATTTATATGTGGCACCTTTGTAAGCAGCTATGGGACCTAACTTCATTGATAGGTTGATGATACTCGGCTGTTGGGGTAGCAATGTATCTGAGACCTCATCATTCTCTTCTCTTACAGTTTACAGGAGATAAAGGCATGGAAGCAGCAAACATGTCTGCATTCCTCTGTCTAGTAATCACAGGTCTTGGTGTTATTTTTGATCCTCAGCTCAGTTTGAAGCCACATCATGCGCATATTTGTATGCATGATGTGGCTTGATGTGTAAGAAGTTGGCCTTACCTCTGATTGTGATGAATTATGGGGTTTTTAACCAAAGTACAGAAGCAGTGGTGAAGTCAGTGTGTTTGTTTATTGAGGTGTCAAAAACACCTCAAAAAACAGGTTCAAATAATATTAAATTAAAGCACTACATATTTGATTTATTGTTGAACAGGTAACAAAATGCAGTTTTTTTTAAATAATGTAAGTTTATTTTTTGCCTGTTTTGATCATTTTTTCCAAAAAGTTTGAACTACTTTGATTTAGAGAATTGAGAAAGACGTGAAAGCGTTTATTTAAACAAGTTTGTCTGATCACAACAAATCCTATCCTACAAGTTTGAAAAAATAGATTTTTTTTCTGAAAGAAGAGGAGTAAAAGCTGCCTGACTGAAATCTAATAACCACCTTAGGGATGCTTTAAAAAGAACTGTGGATCAGCAGAACACCTCCAGCAGAGAAAAAAAGCATCTCTTCATCCATCCATACTTCCATCTCTCCACAGATTAACAAAAAACTGGTTAGAAGCAATGCTGAGGAGGATTTAGTCCACACAACAACAAATATCTGCCAAATCCTGGGAAGAAAAATCAAAGGTTTGAATCTCACTGTTCACTTTTGGTGCTCTGACTTCCCCATGTGGGGTTTTGGGATTTTGATGAAGTAAATCTTTCAAACGGGAACAAGAACTCAGCGTCCGACAATCTGAGACGCCTCAAACGCTAATCCAAATTTATTCACCAGGAAATGTTTGCGTTTCCCTCAACTGTGTATGAGCTCTTTGTATAGCCACAGGAAGATGGCTATCCCTCACGACACGCTATTTTTCTTCTTCCAGGATATTTTCTTTTTATACTGAAACCCACAGTTTCAGCTCATTATAAAAAAATTATAACAGAAAAAAGAGAAACAGCATTTACATTTAGTTTAGTCTAAGAAAGCATTGTAGAAATGTAACAAGCCATGTGACATGGAAATGCTTTCCATTTTTCTCCATGACGCAAAGCTTTTATTTCCTATCCTACGTTTCAAAACTGAGCTGTGTATTGACTTTTTTTTTTTTTTTTGAGTCCCTACCTCATGCCTTCTGTGGATTTGTTCTGGTAGTTGCAGTAGAGCTGTGGCGTTCCCAGCATTGCCTCGGTGAACACCGCCAGGAAGCCGAGGGTCTCCACGAACAGCACCGAGTCCAGGAGGAGGTAGGTGATGTAGGCCGCCACCAGCGTGAAGGCCAGCACGCACTGAAGGTAGTCCACGAAGCGACTCCAGGACCAGAAGTAGGTCCAGTCAAAGTCTACGCACACACAGACAGTCAGAAAGTCAAGAGGGAGATCAAAAGAAAAAAAAAGATGAACTTGGTATTGATGGCGTGTTAAGCAAGGTTAAAACTCTTTGACCAATTAGGTATCATGGTTTTATTGCCTTATTAAAGCTCCAGTATTTAACTTTATTTAAAAACATTTTTTTTACATATCTGTTAAAATTATTTTGTCTTGAGAGTATAATCTGTGAAAAAAAACATATAAATAAAAATCAAACTCCTTTGCCTTCTCCCCGTGCTAACTGCAGAAATACCATTAGCACACTGAGCAGCAGACATAAGGTTGAAGAACAGCGCTAAGATGCTCATCTGGGCTCTGATTGGTTGTTTTTGACCAGGCATCTGCAATCTTTACCATTCAAAGAACCATATTTGCCCCCAATCCAGATAAATAAAACTCATTTAGACAAAAGACACATTTTTTTATGTTTTATATATGTCTACTATAGGAAAAGTGTTATTTTTAAAGAATCACCATTTTATTTCTATTTTAAGGTTTTAATATACAGGACAAACAAAAGATGTTAGCAAAACCAGATGGATATAATTCTTACATGGGATGTTGATATTGGCTAAAGAAAAGGACAGTTCTTTCAAAATGTCATTGGTACTTGTAGTGTCATTCTGTTGTGGAAATTCAATTAAATTATTCAAAGCAAAAACTGTAAAACTGCTAAATCTTGCATTTTTTTATACCTATAATTGAAAGTACTAGTTGTTTTTTTAACATCTTAGAACCAGCCAAAGTTATTAAGAGCCATTGTGGAAGGTCCTAATCTATCTATTGCATACTTTACTGTCACAACATGGCGACTTTTTATTTTTTTAATTAAGACAACTGCTATCTCAAATGTAGCCACTAGATGTCATACTAGAGAAGACATTATTCCGTCAATGTTGCAAAAATTTGAGATTAATTAATTGTAGATATCTGTGCTCCAAATATGTTGACAAGTGTACCTTGATTTTAAGGAAATATAGCAGTAAAGAATTGCAGTTGAACTAGTAGTCAGCCTCACTCAGAAGTATGGCGTTACCTGTCAGTGAGGTAGGTTAACACTGACACAGGAATAGTTGTAAAAGCAAGTCATTTAATCAGATGAATGCTCCGATTTCCCTGTTAGGTTGTTACCCAATATTCACAACCGAGATGAGAATTTTCATGCGACTCCCACAAACCTCTTTTTATACTCAGACCACCCTCACCCCACAAACAATATGTCACCGCCGTAAATCTTTGTTGTTCCCTTTAATGGTCTGTTAGGACTGCAATGTTTGTTTTACAATGGTTTTAAGGAAGATTAAATGTTGTAAAAACATTTGTGGGAGCGCATTGTCTCTTATCTGACTCATCGTTTCTTGTGTGTGTTGTCTTCACATGAAAGCGGATTTGGCTTACGCCGGAAAGCTGGAAAGGCTGGCTTTACATTACCGAGAGTCAATAAGGTTAACGCTAAAAATGAAGTGATGGCTGTAAGCAAAAGAGCACTGCTGCACCGAATGTATTTTAAAGAATTTGTTTAGGCCACAAACATAATAGAGAAAAAGCGCCTAGTAAAAGTTTAAATGAAGTTTATCTCATCCAGTAAAAGGAACCTCTGTAGAAAGTGTGCCATACAGACTCGCTGTACACATACATCTCCAGGGACATCCATCCAATAAAAACACAATGAAAACAGCAGAACAGCAGCTGCTGTTTGTCTTAGCATAGCTACTAAAATAAAACGCTTTGATGAAATAAACCTATCAATCAAAACCTAATAAAATCAAATAAACCCCACCCAACAAATATTTATAACACTTGAGGACATGAGGAGTGAAATCTTTTTTTCTTTCAAGAATTATTGCTGAGTGATTTTGACATTTAGGTGGCATTTCTAAATAAATACGCATGGCAGCCGTGCATGTGCAGAAGCTAAAGAGGCCTTCCAAAAACTGAGCCAATCCTATTGTCCCTCTATGAAAGACGGGCTAAACAAATCCCACAAATTTAATCGAATGAATCTCAAGGAGCCAGTCAAACCAGGTCACATCCTTCTGTCAAGCTGCCACATGCTATTCACAAAGCAAAATCTTACAAGCAAATGAAATATGCAACATAAGGCAAACACGGAGAACAACAGGCAGTTGAACGAGGGGCAACTGGGGACAGTAACTGTTCGAAACGCTGTCAAAAATCCTCTGTGGGCTGTGTAATGTATGCTAACCGCTGTTTATCCTGCAGGTACAGATGCTTGACGTGGTCGTGGAGCCATGTCTGCGGCAGAGCCAGAGAACGGGTAAGCCAGCTTATCATTATGCTGGTGCAGCCTGATAACAGTCCAGCACAGTGGGGGGCCATCATCGAGTTGTGTTTAGAGCCAATCTGGGCGCTAAGGCATTCTGAAAAATCCTACTGACAAAAGATAATACATCATCTAGGACCTTCAAGTCAGATCATACTGTGGCAGCTAATTGACATGTGTACTTTATAGCTGCAGTGGTGAAAAAACCCCATTGAGATGTTTATATTGTTTTGCTTTGCTAGCCTCTTGGCAAGTAAGCTAGCAGCAGTTGTGGAAGAATTGAGTAATACTGTAAAAAAACAGCTTATACATCACCAACAAACTAGCCATAAAACTAGCATGATGTATTAAAAATAAAATGGTGAGTTAAAGCTAGGAACTCTGCTAAAAAGTAGCAGAGGTATTCCATGCAATATTCAGCCACAAAATTGAAATGTGTAGTATTATATTTACTTAGCCAGAAAGTGACAAAACACTGATTTCAATTGGCTTTGCTAACTTTTAACTAACTTAACAAATTGGCAATGTTAGCAAGTTAGCTAGGTACAACAGGAGGTGTTTCAAAACAGTTTTTTTCCCAAAAAGACAGATTGTGTTTTTCGCAACCAGACACACAAGACAAGATACGAACAATTTAGAGAAGCTGCTAACTGCTAACAGTGCTAAGATAGCTAAATTAGCAGCTAAAACCTGAACTGGATTCTTCTACAAACCCAGAACACATCTTTAAAAACAGCATGAGATTTATGAAACTTTAATTACATTTGTGAAAACACAAAAGGGGAGAATTTTAATACTGTTTTGGCACTAGGAGAATCTAAGAACTAGACACCAGAGACGCCAATGGACTAGAATATTTTATACTGAATACAGATTTCTGTAAAACACGGTTTGTAATTTGTAAAACCTTGTCCCATCTTGTTAAAATGAACTCAGTATTGTGTATCATCACCTAAGCAGAACACATCGGAGAAGTTTTCCAATTACATTCACCAGAGTTTTTTTGGGAAATCATTCGCTCAACTTTTTAATTATATTTCTAGCTCCTCTTTATGTGAGAACTAATTGCAGACCACACAAGTTTAAGGGCTTTCCTTTGTACTCCCCCACGTATAAATAATAAAAAGAACATAGCTGCTGTATAGCATGTTTTTCCTTCATGCTGCAACTTTATCTGACAATTCTGAAAAACAGTAGTGGAAAAAAAAGAAGAAATTGGAAATCATTGGGCTACATGGCAACATATCAGTTTTGGGAACTGGGCACAAGCTAAACTAAAAAGCTTTTTGACTAAAACAGTGTGTCAATATTTCACACTGAGTCCTAAGTGATGTTTATCACAGTGGTTCATCTCGTTGTAAAACCCTCTCTTGCTGTGCACCAGGGTGTCCAGATTGACACTCCTCTTCTTTCGTCCTCGCGCTGCACGGTAACGGTATCTATGGCTGCCGTTACCGTACCGAAGACAACGGAGCAGAACAGTGAACCGCCTCCCTGCGGTTGGTCAGCTTCAGGGGTTTAAAGTCCCACGCGGCTGTGAGAGTTGTGTCAGATAGGTCCAAGTTCGGGATTTCAGTTACTTGTTTCTGAGTGGTTCTCAGAAAGCCTCTGGTGGGTTTAAATAATGGCTTCCTGTCACTCAAGAGGAAACGGGAGAGCCAGAAGGTTATTATGAGAGACTGTTGGAACAGCTCAAATAAGTGCAACTCCGATGTATTATAATCCCCAGCTCTGAGGCAGAGTTAGATCAGCACCAGCCCTTTAATGAGAGAATAACTGCACCTATAGGGTGAGGTGACCTATTCTCAGCTGCTAAGGCTAAGGCTGGTGTGACTGTAGCAGAACCATGTGGGGGAAAAATGAGCCGAGACATGTTTTTCCCAGACTAAAGGTAATGAAAGTCTCCCCATGTCCTGCGCTGTTGTGATGTCATTAGGTTGATGCTTTTCATGGTGAATCTATGTAAAAATCTAAGAGCTGCGTCTTTACATCTTTATTCGATAGGATTCGGTGAAGGTTTATGTCATACTTGTGAGGACACAATCAGGAAAGGTTCAATGGCAGACCAAACAGAAATATAAATGGCAGTGCAGGTGAACATGCTCTGCAAGAGCACCGTCCGAGGTCAACACGCCGGCGCGATGACGTCGCGTTTGGCATGTGCCCTCTTGCGCCCGGTTCAACGCGTCAACTATAAAACCAGCTTAAAGGCGCGGCTGCATCGCAACAAATAATATTTAACTGAAAATCGACTGTGGCTACAATCCAGCAGCAAACCACACTTTGAGGGTTGAAAAGCGCCATTTAAATGTGATTTCATTTCATGGCTGAAAAAATGAGATCCCAGAGACAAGCAGCCCCAAAATAAGATTTGTTCGTGTAGGGCGGCCAGAGTCAGACCCACGACCCGATTTTAGATGAGTAGAATATTTTATTTAATTTCCTCTTGGGATAAGTACAGAATTTTTTAACTTAAGTTTAATTTGAAGTTTGGATTTTTATTAACGATAATGGAAATAAACATCCAAAGTACGAGTCTGTGTAGCATATAATGAATCTAAATATGAGTTTCACCATTTGAGGTGACTTAATGAAATATAGTTTCTCTTCAGACGGATTTGTAGTGATCCAACCCACAAAAACAATGTAATATCAATCGCCGCAATCTAAAACCCCCCCCCAATAAAA